CACTTCACACTAAGAGCTACCAACAAACACATACGACAGTATTATAAACAGAAACATTTCATTGTCTTTAGTTGACATCACTATGTGTGAAGTGGTTGCCAGCCTACCGGTTGAGGACGACAGCCGTGTAGCGCCTCTCCACGAAGATGATCCCACAAAGGATGTTGGTGAACGGCGAGGGGAAGTTGGTTTCAGGCCTTTCTTTGACCTCCACCTCCTCATCCTCATCTTCATCCTCAGAGTCGCTCCATGAGACGTAGTCGTCCTGGTTGCGGTTATTGTACCACTCTACGCTTTCGAACTGCTGCCGCTCAAAGGGCTTGTACTCGTGCAGGATCTCCAGCAGCCGGAGGACCTTGGGGGTGACGAACTTGAGGTCCAGGGAGGCGGGGGAGAAGTGCTCCTCGCACAGGGCGTGCACTTTGCGCAGGATGGTGTCGGTGAAGAGCAGGAACTTGCGGCTGAGCTCCTCCTGCTCGTGTTTGATGTACTTCTGGATCTCGCGCACCATGATGCCTGCGGCCTTATCTGCACACCAGGGCCCTAAAACCATGAGCACGGCCAGGAAGTCACCCAGGACCTGATATGGATAGAGACATTTATATGAACTGATGAACTGCTTATTGACTGGAGGAAACAGGATCTAAATTGAGCACCTGGGTAACAGTCCCTATCTGCCCTCTAAAAGGGTCATTGCTGCATGGCAGGGTTATTTATTCGATAGAATAAACAGCAGCTTGTTTTTGATACCGGTAGGATGGTATGTTACCTCAATAGTAAAACACACATTGATATAAACATAAGAGGCTTAAGTAAAAATGTGCAAATTGTATATACAGTGGGGTATTAGTAGGGATGCTCCAATCGATCGGCCGCCGATCATTATCGGCCGATATTCACTCTCGGCCGATCGATCGGTGCTCTCTATAAAGGCCGATCAGGAGAGCCGATCTCATGACGTAAAATACATGACACTTTTCTCTGTGCGCGACAACACAAGCTCGCCAAAATGGCTTCACCAGTCTGGCAGTATTTTAAGGTGTCTGAAAAAGACAATAAAATAGCGGTATGCAACGTGTGTGAAGCAGAAAGCTCTCCTGGATCACCTGTCGTTCCGCCCGCGGTGACTTTAGACCTAAGTTAGAAGTTAGACCTAACACACTTAGCTATTTGATCTACCTCTGGAACAAGCTAAACTAGTTATAAATATATTTATTCTTCAATGTCGGGTCACTCATTACTGGATCAGTGAGCTGCATGAGATAATGACGGGCTGTCAGGAGAGAGGAAAAGAGAGAGGGAGAGAGGAAAAGAGAGCGCTTCCGCTCATTTCTCCCGTGTTATTATCCAAAGTTAATGTAAACTTGAATAATGTCTTCATTTGGATGTAATAATTATGTTGGTTGTTGTTTGTGGAAGCGCCAGTGAATGAGCCCCATTAACTGAGTTTTAAACATCACTTTAAATGGAAGATCCCCATAGGCCCCGCCCACTCCATCGGATCGGCCGATACTGATTCCGGCGACCGGCGACAAGCCCCAAAATTGGCGATTGGCGCATCCCTACAAATTACAATTATGAAATTTGAACATTTGCATAATAGGGCCCCTTTAAAGAAATGGTCGACTTGATGTTTTAATCATATACATTTCGGGTGGGCATCAGTTAACCTTTTAGGTCTGAATCAGTAAAAAATGTGAGTTTTCAGAAGCTATAACAGCACATATTGTTTCCTTATTGAAATACACTGTATGTTCTCAGGCAAAAAACCTATCAGTTAACATCAACATTTGTTTAAAAACAGCATTTTATGTGAAATGTATCAAAAGGAACCTCCGGTGTGGTTGTTAAAGAGCTCTGGCAAATAAATGTAATGAGGCAGGATATTTTGCAGCTGAAGAGTAAACAGAATTTCATCAGCTGACTTCACACCGCCATCTGCTCCGCTATGATAGGGTACTCAGGTGCTTGTTGCAAAGTATTGTAAACAGTGGAGTCTGCGGGAGAAACTACGAGAACGCTGTTTCTAAATTATCTCAAGTGCTTTAAACTGCAATATGTAGTATACGTTTAGTGTAATGAAATAAGCCAATATATGCACCAATACAGTTTGTGTTGAAACAGTGTTAGCCGCCAAAACAGACCCTATATCCTCCAGATTTAACAAATGTTAGGTAAATATTGAATTTGGATCCTTAACAAAAGGGTTCAGACTGTCAACACACTTGTATTTCTGATGGTAAACAGTAAGTATGTGGAATCCTACTGTTGCAATGAATCTCTAATAACTTGGCTGAGGTTTTACATTCACTACTGAATCTAAGCCAAAAGTGTTCATCTTGGTATTTCCAGCAAAACAACATTTGCCAAAACTTTCTAACAAATTCTCTGAGGAGCTATAGCAATGTTTTCCTCTGACTTCATGTACTGTCACCTCCTGCAGTCTGAGAGGCCCTAAGGCAAAAGAAAGATCCTGAAAATGTGTTGGGATTTCCTGAGGCAAATGCATGTATAAGTTTCCCAGAGGCAGGGGTGGGGAGTGATGGGAGCGGTGTCATCTCTACAACACCAAAACCACTTCCCTTGACGTGTCATTTCAGCAGTGGCAGACTGGACACACCCTGTCGTAACACTTCTTACTCTCGCCACCCAGTTTCACATCAACAGGTGTGTAAAAGTTGACTTGTGAGAATCTTGTGATCGAAGGTTTTCCTGGCACAAAAAGACAAATAGGACGGCACTAATCAGGAGTTTATTTTGGAAAAAGCTGCATATCTGCAAACAAATGATTGTTTATGCATACTTAGTACGCTGAGAAACTGTTTGTCACTTTCCGGCTCCACAATGAGGTCACAGAGTTACAGAACAACTGATTTAACGTCTTCCTCAAGGACACATCAGCAGGGCAAACTGTTGCTGACTCAACAACAGCTTGGACCCTGCAGCTGGAAGACGGCCCGCCTGCAACTCTCTGCTAGTCGCTAGGCCTTGATGCTGTGTGGCATATAGATGATCGAGGAGGGAATTAAAGAAGGCGCTGACCTCTGAATACACAGGAGCCGCTTTCTGTCTGGATTGGTGTGTTCAAAAGGCGAGTAATAGGCTATACAACTCGTGACAGTGCCAGTGTTGACACCTGTCACTGTGACACACTGAAACACTTTGACAGCTGCAAACAACCACCTCTGGAAAGCATAATTAAAATCAAATTAGTCTCCCGTGCACCTTAAAGGGTTACATTGGGAGCCATTAGCTGTTTTAATCTTAGTGCTAATTAACACACTGAAAGGTATAGCAGAGGAAAATATAAAAAACAACACAGGCTGTATAATCAACATGTTTGATGTGGCGGAGGAGTGTCCATGCTATACAAACAACATCATTATTGAAACTGCAAGTACAGACCGTTTGCAAGGGTAACCTTCGACTAAAGAAATACTTAGTAAACTAACACTCTTGATTTTTTCGACTAATGTATTAGATGCACGTCTACGGTATTGTAGTGTGTGTCTGCATTGGATAAAAATGTGAAACACCTGTTAAACTGGGTTTCTACACAAAGAACGACTTTTTATCTTGTGTTTGCCGTAGATGTGCGTACCTAGACATCTTAGTCATAAACATTGACAATTGACAATTAATCGACTAAGAGTGGGCCATCCTAAAGTTTTCATAGTTTTAAGAACAAGTAGCTGGTTGGCAAATGGAGAAGTGCCAGGCACCTTCTACTCGCTTCTCACACTGATCCCTGAGGGCCTTTCGGGGGCCCTTGGCTGAGGACACTGACATACTGAGCCTGTAGATCCGATCAGTCTACAATACCCTCCCGGGGTACACCTCACGACAATGCCAAGCACTATTTAACGGCAGGTGAAGGAAAGCCTGATGCCTCGTCAGGAGCAGCTGCTGCTATGAAATGCATTTACTGCTGCTGTGAACAATCCATTTCACAGCAGTGTTGGCGTTTAGTCCTGATCTGAAACGCAGTCCGAATATAATGCAAACCAGACGCAAGGGAGGCCTCTCTGCATATCCAGAGCCGTGCATGGCGATTTTGCTGTCGAACGAAACGCATCAACTTGGATATATCATATAGGACGCCATAGCCTTATGCTGGTGTCCAGTAGTGGAAACCTTTGAGCAGTAATAACACATTTGTTACCCTCCTCTGGCAGCTGATAGAGTGTCGTACACCCACCCTGCGCCCACACGCAGCCTCTCTTCTCAGCCATCTCACGGAAAACAGAGGGATACTCGCCTCTTTCCCACCTCCGGGTGAGCGGCTGCTGTGGGATCACCGGCCCACTGAGCAGCGTCAACACCCGGGGCTAAAGCGCCTGGGCCGCCAGGGTACATGGTGGGCCTTCTTTCATTCTCTAACTAAAACCTCCTTTTTTACGTTATATATTCCTCCCCGTAGTTCCTATCAACAACCAAACGACAATGCATTTAAATATTTCTGCGTCAAATAAAACCATAATTGTAACGTCCCTAATTGGGCTTTAAACCTACAATGACAGGTAAGAAGAGGCTGTTCTGGAGGCACAGAGCCCCACTGCGCAGCTATCAGTCCACACTCAATATCATACATAAATACCATTAAATGCCCGCTACGTCATCGTAAATGGTATAAAAACCCACAAAACCAGCGGTTGTGCTAGTGTGAAACAAATTGCTCGACAGCCTAGTGCACCGCAGCCGTAAGCGCGATGCTGCAAACACTCCCTGCGTTGTTCATCCCGAGCCTGCTCGCTGCTGGGCCTTCTCTTAACCTGCCCGGGAACTGTGTGTGTTGTCAGCGTACAAACAGCTGATTTCAACGGTATATGGTTGCCGGAGACAAAGCGCTGCGCAGAAACAGAGAAAGCATAAAACCCCTAGTAGGACAGCCGAAAAGCTCGGGATGCGTTCATGGTCCTATCTTTGAGGTGGTGGTGTGTATGTGTGTGTGGGGGGGGGTACATTTTCATTATTTATTTTTGAAATTCAGCTGTGCTTACCTTCCCTCGCCTTCAGGAGAACCGTGTTGGCCACGATATTTTCAATCTCCATTGTCAGAATGTGAGTCCCAAGCAGTCGCGATACATTTCACTCAGCGGAAAAAGACGGTTATTCAGATCAGACGTGCCGACGACGGTGAGACTGCTGCACACGCACAGGACGAAGGTGGCACTGGTGCATAGTAGGTGTTTAATAGTTGTCGTCGTTCCTCTCCATTGCAAGACGTTTGTAATCAAACCCTACCTACGGAACTGTATGATTACGACGGGGCTTGTTAGCATTCACAGCCTGCCTCCCTTCCCTCTCTGCCTGCCTTCCTTCCTGCTTTGGCTCCCTCCTCCTCCTCGCCCCTCCTCTGCACAACGGAGCAGCGAGAGTAGGAGGGATCAATTTACAACCAGTGCAACCACACACACATTCATATGATTCATACATACATGCATGCAATTTCCTAGGCTCGTGAAATTATGGATGGTTATGTCATTTATTGTGTCGCAGTTTTAGATTAAAACGTTTTTACAATTTCCCCTCGGGTATAATAGTCCCAACCACTACTGGAAACATCTAGAAAAAAAGGAGATGTTTCCTTTAAATAATCATTTTTAAATGACTTTTTATCCAAACTTGACTGAACAAACTAATAAGGAAACTTTTCCTTTCCTTGATTTCCTGCTATACAGCTATTTCATGAGCTTCTAGCTTTTGTTATGTAAGGGAACATTAAGACCTTTGATAGTGCATACATTATATGCATGCCATATATAGGCTCCTGAAATTGTCGATGGTTATGGCATTTATTGTTTGGCAGTTTTGGATTACAAAGTGTTACGTGTGCTGTTTCGCTTACAATTCAATAGTATCCTCATTCTCATGAGCCTGCATGAAACATAGAAAAGTTTCCAATTAATAATCACCAAAATATCATTTTTTAAACATGATTGGACAAACTGATAAGGAAACGTTTCGTTTCCATAATGTCCTGCTATTGTTTCATTTGATGCTGGCTATGGTTAGGAAACATGAATACCTTTGACAAGATCATACATTCATACACACATGCTATTTTGTTTGCCTTATTATCGATGCTTGTGCCATTTATTGCTTGGCAGTTTTAGATAAAATAATGTTCTAGAAGTTTTTCTCAGGCATAATAGTCTACTCAAACACAGGAGCCTACTGGAAAAAAGTAAAACATTTGAAGTTTTCTTTTAAATAATTTTTTTTTTTAATATATCAAAACATACTTATTGAACACAGTAATTGGACTTATTAATAATACACGTTTTCTTACATAAGCATGTTTTTTGTTGCAAGTTCCCTCAGGTGTTAGAATATCCGCTTCTAGTGACACTCTGAAATACTCATTCTTTCCCAGAACGATCAGAGAGTGGAACATGCTACAAGAAGAAGCTGTCATCGCAGTGTCCGTGGAGTGCTTCTGGCACATTTTAATAGACATTTAGCAGGGAATATTCATCCCCCACTGAGCATGATACCTCTGGGTTTTGCTCAGTATTAATCCAGATCCAGATCCAGACCACAAGAGTCTACTGGAAACATCTTGAAAAAGAGAAGCTTCCTTTAAATAATAAATGATGAATCTTAAAATGATTGAATATGTTTATAAAGTTAAATTGTCATTTACTTGATTTACAGCTGTTTCATGTGCTGCTGGCTATTGTATTGTTAGGAAACATGAACGCCTTTGACCTGATACAGACCTCTTATTGTGTGAACAATGGTGTGAGGGTTTTAAGTTGTGACATAATGCTAGGTCTGGAGAAAAGAGATAACACACCGGTTTTCTGACCCAGCATCCCTCTGGGCTTTCTTATCTGACATTGGGATCATCTCTACCCGCAATGCTCTGCGAAAAGCTGTGTGTCTCAAAAAGAGAATACGGTGTGTAACCTAATGATGAGATTTGTTTTCGAAAAGGTTTAGCAATGCATACATGTGATCCTTGAGAATAAAAACAGAATAAGTAGTTTCACTTTTCATTTGAATACTAGGGTCCTGAAGACATAACAGGAAGGCCCGAGGGTATCTGTGGAGCAGGGAATAAAATAATTAAAAGGTGTAAGATCACAGACTTTCGTCTTAACACCCTCACTGATTTTATTAACACAGAATGTATCAAGTTACTGGATCAACCATCACACTTTTTTTAGAAATAGGTATTTAAAGCAGGAATAATTACATTTAAGAAATGCTTTAAATACAAAGAGCTGTTTGTGAACTGAGGTGTCTGCTCACACTTGAAGTGAGTATGATTGTTCTCGCAGATATTATCACTATAATCAGTTCTTATAATAACAAAAGGATGCTGGTTGAGGGACCGATACAAAAACTAAGGGCCTAAACATAACAATTTATTAGATTACATGGGATGCGCAAGGAGACCTTATCATAGGCTGGATATTTAATTGAATGCCTTAGAAGCCATGATATCATGTGTCTATGACTATTCTTTATTTTTAGCTCAGGTATTTTCCTCATCAGAAGCACAAGTCATGGATTCATCTTAGACAAAGATGCTTTTAATCTAACTATGACCATTCTGTCAGGATAATATCAGTGGAATCTCCCATTGAAAGAGAGAGACTGTATATAAACCTGATGAAAACAATTACACCTGATTGTCCATGTTGTATGAGTACATGTTTACTTGTGTAGAATAAGATTAACCTACACCACTAGACAGTTGTTATCACATAGTCCATGTAGATTCAATGCTGCCACCTAGTGGTGATAAAGCATAACTACAGAACGGACATGCAATGCCTGCATAAGGCCCTTATCTTAACCCTCTTTAGGGAAATATTTGGCTTTTAATGTTTTAGCACTGCGTGAACGCATAGAATGTATTTAGCAAGGGTGTGATTTCTTTGCTGTTTTTGTTTCTCACATGTTCCTAATAATAACTTGCTAAAATGCAGGTTCGCAGAAAGTGATGCTATTTTATTTTTTATCCAATAGCCATGACAGAAAAAAAAATCAGGAATTCTAGTATATAAGGCTTTTAATGTTAATTTCTGGTTTAACAATTGAAGTTTTACACATTTTTAAACAGATTTATCAATTTTCCCATGTTTCCCTTATGGCGCAAAAACATGCTACTTTCTTGGTTTTCTGCAAAAATAATAAAAAATATATCAAATTCAGTGTTGTGCTATCAGTGGCATAACCACACTGGAGGGGAAAAAATGGTTCAGTGTGGAGAGTTACTAAGATATATTCTAGTATTGTTAACAATTAAAGTAGGCCTACTTTAAAAATAGGCTAAAGCATGTTCTATTATTACCAAAATCAGTATACTGTTATAGTGTGTTTAAAATGCTGCACACACATTATTGCATGCATGACTTACAACATTTAAAGTCATCATATAATACCATACATAATTAGATAAACCATCTACATGCAGTGTCCATTTAAAAAGAAAATTAAGCACTTTTACTTGTATAACTTTAAAACACACACATGGTTTGTTTCATGTCAATCTCCATCCTTCTGTCCTCTCTTTCCTGTCACCTCTCTATTGTCTTCATATAGCTAAAGGCATAACATTTTCCCCAAAAAATTATAATAAATGTTGATGTGAGTCCTGTTTCCTTGAACAATCACTTGCAGAATATTGTTGCAGAAAAACAGCTCTGTTTTTTATCACAAGTAATGATTAGAAACTGTTTCTTCTTGGCATGTCCTTGTAGACTCAGATACACCAGACCAGATGAACCTAAACATTGTATAGGCCAGTATGTGTGGAGTACATTAGAGAAACAAACTGCTCAGTCAATAGGATTCACAAACCATAAGTCAGTAGTTTGTGACATACAATAACTTTTTTTCTGTAAGCACCTGTTCAATATATGATGCAAGATTTAAAAAAAAAACTAGACAATAAAATAAACTACTGTCAAAAATAAATCTGAATCAAATGTTCATTCAGGTCTTTCACTGTACATAGTATAGGTGGTGCCGCTGACATAACAGTTTCTAGTTGACTTATGGTCTCAGATGTTGGTTTTGGAAAGGTAGGCTCACACTACATTTTGTATGCACGACTTTAGTATTTAGTATATTTTAATACTATAAATAATGTAAAATATCTCAAAAGTATTCCACCACTCCCAATAGTAAAGATGTAATGTGTCTGCATTAACAGTATGTCGATTATCTTAGTTATTCTAAAATGTATTATTTTTAATACTTGTGTATAATACTTGGACACTCCTTTAGTTCTACCAATACTGACTGGTTGAAAAGAGCTACTTGCACTGATATCAAACAGCTATCTCACAGGCTGCTGTGTTGCATTTTATACTGTAGTGACTTGCAACTGCAAATAAAGCGTCTTTATTTTTAATATAATTATGTTACGTCCATTGTCAATAATGTGATGAAATCAGCGGCTGTGTTCTGTGTTGTTGTCTGCTGCTTCCTGACTGTGTGTGTGCGTGTGCGTGTGTGTGTGCGTGCGTGTGTGTGTGTGTGTGTGTGTGTGTGTGTGTGTGTGTTTTCACGTGACCACTCAGAGAGCCCGTACGCCTCTGAAGCAGCAGCGGACTCTGGAAGCAAAGGAAACACAGCAGTTTGAGCTCAGTAACTGCTGAATAACTTTCACTTTGGTGGAGTGGTCGCTGCTCATTGTTCCAAAGATGTTTTCACTCGGGGAGAAAATTGAGTTTTTCATAGGAAACCCCTTTTCGACGCCTGTTGGTCAGAGAATCGGTAAGTAGCTGCTGCTTTTGAACTTTATGCTAGGAGTTGTTCACCTTTGCATTCAATTTTGGATTATTTAATGTATACAACCAGTTAGATTTGCCACGCTCATAGGCATGGAAAACAACTTTATAACACTTTTAATGCTTGTTTACTTTTATAAAATGTTCAAAATGAAGTCCGAATTTGACAGAAACATCAATCGATGTCTTTAAAGCCAATGACGCGTCAGAGGCGGTACTTACTTGCCTCGATCTTTCATATGATTTGTTGCTGAAGTTAAGTGACAACACATTTAGCGAATCAATGACACCAAATGTGTTTTCTCTCACTTCCTCAATCCCTGATGTGTTCTACAAAAATACAGTTTCACACCTTGTGTACAAGTTTCACTTATACTCTCAGCAAGCGTATTATGTCATGTTACACATCTTTTAATGCAACATGTTGCTTGTTTTGCTTGAAAATGTAAAGCCAACACATCCACAAACAGCCTGCAGAGATGAGTAATCAAGACAGTTATGAGTGGTCAGAAAAGCTTACACACCCATCTCAAGCCTCTCTTCCTCTTATCTAATCCACTCACTTTCCCCAAACATGAATGTCAGAGAGGCTCCAGCTACTTCTGAGGCGGATGAGAACAGAAGCAGCTGACAGTCACATGAAGTGGAGCGAGCGAGGAAGGAGAGAGGAGGGAGGGAGGGAGTAGAATGGGATTGAGAAAGGGATTGAGAAAGGCAGTGAGGGTTTGGAAATATAGGGGGGTGTTGGTGGAAAGGAATGAAGGAGATTTAGAGACTTATGAGGAACCAGTGAGGGGTGGAGGAGTGCAAAGAAAGCCGGCTTTGATTGCCAAATAGTATGGACGGAAATAATATGAAAGCTAAAAAACGTAGCTGATCAATATAGTTACAATTTTTTTTAAAACACAATAACCTTTGCTGTCTTCTCATGAGATATTTTTTCTTTGTTTGCCTATGCTCATAATGGTTTAAAGTGCCTGTTGGATAGCTGATGACAAATATTTTCACCAATTACTAAGAATTGTTATATGAGGAAATGTGGCTTGTTTGATCATACTGTCGGTAAAAACAAAATGTCAACACAGTTCCCAAAAGCTGATTTGATTAAATTGCAATTTTACACTTGAAGATTGTGGTTACGCACAGTGTTACTCAGCCTTCCTCAGAAAACTGTTGTGTAATGTCTTATGTGGCTCTGGAGGGAGCTCTATAACGTCAGAGGACATGATGATTTCCTTACAACAGCCTGCTTTGTAGCCTATGAATAATGGATCCAACAACTATGTGTAATATGAAAGGTTTCTCTTGTTGTGATGACACGAAGAGAATTATCACCAGACTCTTCAGTTCCCTTTAGCTCTACACACCGTTTTAGCATCTTTCAGCTCATTATTTGGTTTTTCTGGTGCAAAACTTTACAATTTTGGTTCACACGCACTGCTTCCAGAGCCTTGTTTTTCACCACAGCAGGCTGCTGTTTGGAGCGAAAAAGCTTTAAAGTTGTAGCTGCTCAGCAACAAACGGCAGACACATACAGACGGCAAATATACAAATCAACATGATAAAGCATTTAACAGCTAAACAGTTTATTTGTGGGGTTTTGGACCACCCTGAACTTCATTAAAGGGCTACATTTGGTTGTGCAACGCTGTGTTGTAGAATGAGAATAAAACATCTTAAACCTTGATCCTTGAGTATTGTATTAACATTGGTTTGATCGCTAGAAACACAACTCCAAAAAAGGAGTTAAGGACTGCACTCCATATCTGTTGGATGATTCAACAGGAAAGTGTTTTCTAAAATGTTAACTCAACAACTTTAAAAGGTTGATTTTGTTTACAGCTTGTAGTGCCAAAAACACACCAAAAAGTTCCAGTTGATTTGAGTGGATGTTTTTTAAGATTGTAATGTTTATTGTCGTGTGTGTAGTCACATAGATTTTATCTTACTAATGCTTTCAGAGCTCCTCTTTCGACTCCTTACTTTAAGAGGTAGACATAGAGATGATCATATGGTGATCTTCTTTCCTGTATGAATGTAACAATTAAAGGCAGCATATCTTAAATATTGTATGACATTTTGATTTGTTAATGTTGTTTTTCTTCCATGCTAATAAAGCAACAACTTTTCACACCAATTGAAACATTTCCCCCAGGCTGATATCTGAAATACATACAGAACCGATTGTAATGACCTGTGTGACTTCTTATGTTCTGGCAAACATCTTAATATCAGAGGAAAGTCTTCTGATTATTATGATATTTTTCTAATCCTTTAACAATATGACTCTACTAATGCCTATTCCCTGTGTGTTGACAGAGCGAGCGACCAGCGTCTGTCTGCAGTCGGAGGACTGGGGGATCAACATGGAGATCTGTGACATCATCAACGAGACGGACGAGGGGTAGGGTGCTCACACAAGTCACATGGTTTCATTATGTGGTGCATATTGCCCGACCTTTCTCTACTGTATGTAGGTGTCCTCGTTTTGAATATCACTGTTTCACTTCCTATGGTTTTGTTGCTGACGTATATATAAAAATGATTCAAGTGACTTTATTTCCAGCCCTCTCTTCTTATAGAGATGAGTCACAAACAACTTAATACACAGTTTTCTTCTGCAATAGCAACTTGCTTCGACTTATTTATTTATTTATTTTCTTATCTATAAATATCTGATGTTGTTTTTCTCAGGCCCAAAGATGCAGTCAAAGCTATCAAGAAGAGAATCGTAGGAAACAAGAATTTCAGAGAGATCATGTTGGCCCTCACTGTGAGTATCTGTAGGGGATTCCATCTACATGTGCAATCATTTGTTCATAAGGATTATAGGTTGCGAGAGTATCATTTTAAACAAAAATAATGTGAAAGGATTATAAAAGAAGGAAGTGTGTCTGCTTAAAGAAGTTGCTAAATCAATATTGAAGTCTTAGTGTACACATTGAGGCAATGTGAGAAAACGCTTCATTTTGGACTGGACTTTTTTTTCATATTGTGAACTGTATCACTGCAGGTTCTCGAGGCCTGTGTGAAGAACTGCGGCCAGCGCTTCCACATTCTTGTGTCGTCACAGGAGTTTATTGAAGGAGTTTTGGTGCGATCCATTCTGCCCAAATATAACCCCCCCATTGCCCTGCATGACCGTGTGCTGAGCCTCATACAGGTATGTATGCAGATGCTTCTATAGAGGGAAAGAGGATATAAACTGTCTGCACAAGAGCTGTAACTGATGATTATTTCCCATATTGATTATATATTGACATCTATTTGTTGTCTATAAAATGGCAATATAACGAAAAAAATACAAAACCATTTTTTTATATTCTCTGAAATTGTAGGGGTAAATGGAAGGAGAAACAGGTACTTTGTTGTTGTGAGAAGAACATCAATATTCTGACATTAAAAAGTCTTGCAAAATGTATTATTGCAATATCATGTTCAGTACTGTTTCACCTCCTCATTAACCGTTGCATGAGGAATTCCCTGTTTACCGCTGGCGTCTATGGTGTGATCAGATTAGAACAAGTAAAGCAATGTGTTCCTTTGAAAAAAGGGGGGTGAGGGTTCGTAAATGTGTGAGTTTCTTCTTCTAAATTAGAACTTAAATCTCTTTAAAAACACAGCAGCTTTAAAAAAATCTTCCAACGCTTCCAACGCTTCTTGAATGGGAGTGACGTCACTTTGCCTCGCTTTTCGCCGAACTGCATTGTGGGGAAGCAAAGCGAAGATTTCCAGGATTTCCAGGATTCAAAAGTTGAGCAATGTTCAACTTTTGAAGCTGAGGTGGAAGCGTCAGCCAATCAAATCCCGTTTATGCAAATCTGACAGTACAAGCGCTAGCCAATCAAACCGCGTGCAAGCTGGGAGAGCCAGACCGCAGTTCATTTCCTCATATTCCAAACGAGAAATTACAGTAGCAAATCACCCGGTTCTTTACGACCAGAACTATTTACCGGGATACAAATCGGAGGTGGCAGAGACAGTGGGTGAAACTGGTAGGTTTTTGCCTGTTTGTGGAGTTTATGTCCAGTTTACTTCGTTTTAACATTGCTATTGCTTTGTATGTCGGGGCGGGAGATTCATGTGATTGGTTGTTGGTCGCAAAAAATCCCCAAGCTTTCAGACACACCCACCTCCAAGATTTTCAAGATTTTTTCAAAGCTGCTGTGTGGACGAGAGGTTATAGAAATAATAATATCTACTTCCCCCAGCTTTGTCATTTGTCAGGTAGCATTTTTTTACCTTCAATGGCCCTAATACACTTTCTTAAAATAACTGTTTTGTCTGACCAGTTGTTCTAAACTCAAAGCTATTTATATCATAGAACATTAGTAAATCAGCAAACCATTTTAGCTTTTGTCTGCAATAGCATTTTATTTAGTTGGAAATATTTTTTCTTTTGCGTTTTTAAGATGTTTGTCCTCACTTGTACTGTGAGATATTTCAGTGGTATGTGTTGAAACCCCACACGCTGACTATATTATGGCTACAGACTTATAGTTTTATCTTTTTATTGTGTTTTGTGATTTAACTACCTTCACACTTTCCTATTTTACTTCGCCAAGGCCAGTTGTGTTGTGTAATCACAGACCGGCAGGAATGATAACATTAGATACAGTCGGGCTTGTTAATACTGAAGGAGCATTCCATTTCTGTTGTTTTATTCTTCTTTTCCCATATAGTCTTTGTTTTGGCCAGGATACGGTGTTTTTGAACAGTGATTCAACAGTCAGACATTTTCATTCTTTCTTCATGTTTTTCCTCCCCTCTTCAGTCGTGGGCGGATGCGTTTCGAAGCTCTCCCTCCCTGGCGGGGGTGGTGTACGTATATGACGACCTGAGAAGGCGCGGTCTGGAGTTCCCCATGACAGATCTGGATGCTCTGTCCCCCATACATACTCCCAATAGGGTGAGACGGTCGGCAAAGTGAAAATAACACCCACAATAAATCTACAGATATCTGTTTTTACACTGGTTCTTTATCTTCAGAGTACCCCAGAAAATGAGACTCCTGAAACAGCCCCCGCTGCCGTTCCCACACCTCAGTCCGAACCACAGCCAGCTTCCAGTGTCCCCCCTCAGATTACTTCCCCCCCGGACCAGAGGGGTGAGGAGCCGGGCTCCCTCTCTGCACAACAGGTACAACTACATTTAAAAAACCCTGTCAGTCAATGTTTGCATGGAACAGGTTAATAGCCGCGTTCACACCGCGTACTTTGCAGTACTTAGTGCCGGCACTTATTACCCCAGGGCACTAAGTACCAATAGCGTTCACACCGGAGTACTTTTCTCTGAGGGAAGATTACGCAAATGAGCCGCTGACTAATGCTGATGCTAATAATGCTAATTCCACAAATACAATGGCGGCTTCACAAAACCTTTCAGAGTTTTACGGGGCGTGGTTTGCAATTCGCCCAGCCAATCAGAACTGGGGTACTTTTTCCCGCCAGGATAGTACCACCTCTGTAGCAGGCACTAAAAATGGGGGTAAAGGTTCCTGGTACTAAATACTCTTTTTGGTGTGAATGCAACATTAGATTAGATTAGATTAGATTACTTTATTGTCATTACAAAAATGCAAGCACAGTGTAACGAAATTAAGGAGGGTCTAACCAGAGTGCAAAACAGTCAGTTATATACACAATTATCAGAAGTATGTAAAAAATAAATGATACGAAAATAAAGGTAAATAGATGGGAAATGTATAAATAAGAATAAATACACAGATAATAATAAATACAGTGAATACAGAATTGTGCTTCAGCACAGCACACGACAAAAACTAGGCAGTATGGGACAGCGTGGGGTTCATTGTCAGCAGTCTGACTGCTGAAGGGAAGAAGCTGTGCGTAGTCCTGTTTGTTCTACCCGGGAGGCTGCGGTAGCGTGTCCCAGAGCGGGTGCCACGTAGGGGGATAAACAGTGTATGGTTGGGGTGGGAAGAGTCTCTGATGATGTTTCGTTGTGCGATCTTCACCACCCTCTGCAGTGATTTCTTGTCCTTGACCGTGCAGTTACCGTACCAGTACCAGTTAGGGGTACTAACGGAACTAAAGGGGAAAATTACGGGGAAAAGTACTCCGGTGTGAACGCGGCTAATAACACAATGACTAACTGATGACAGACTCATTCAATGAAGGGATATCTGATCCAGATTAATTTGTTTTCACTTTGACATTGAAGAATCGATTTATTTTCAGTGTCTAAAATCCTTGGAAGATGCAATGTGATTTAGTGTTGCGAAAATCCTGAAAAGGTCCAAGGGACAATTCTATTTCGAAACCTTGGTTCCCTTTGTACAGTGCAGTTATCCCTGCTTTATGATAAAGAAGTTAATGATTCATTTGGAGGCACTATTGTCAATTCCCCTCTTATTACATCTATGTTTGCTCTATTCTTTATGTTCAACTTTTCTGTATGCATAAAAGAAAAAAGGTCATTTAGTAGTTTTTGTAATCACTGATATATCTTTGTAGGTATGATATGTTGTGCTTAATGCTTATATTCAGCATACTTTCACTTGTATCGGGGGAAGAAACATCACGATATGTGTCCCGCAAGTACTTTGAACACTTGGTCAGAATGTGGAGGAAAAAAAGCAACCTGAAAAAGATTACAAATAATGAATAAATGGAAAATAAAAATGCAAAAAGGAAATTATTAAATATATATTTTTGAAATGTATACAAACAAATACATATGCAGAAATAAACCAATAAATGAAGGAAAATGCTTATTATTATTATTTTATATCTGAATATATCTTTATATTTCCACCTTTATATTATTTTATTTATAGCTCTTTATAGTTCTACATCTTCTTACTGATGTGTTCATCTTTATATATATATATATATATATATATATATATCTTTTNAGTCACTCCACGTCCCTTTGGAGTAACTCTCAGGACACTTCGTGTCATCAGTCCTCTTTACCGTTGAATTGGACGGTACGCACCTCGTCAAAAATAATGCGCGACGCCTTTGGTAATCTTTTTTTTTATTTTTTTTTTGTTTTTTTTTTTTTTTTTTTTTACATACGTGACCACTATTTACCCCCTGTCAGGACTCTTACCTAAGTCGTCCTAACCTCTCGTCGTCACCCATTCCCCGTTGGCCAAACTCTTCTCTCCACTCTATCATTATTAATTCTACCTTTTTCTTTTCCCTCCCCTCTCTACTTCCCGACATTACCCCACAATTATTCCCTCCCTTTCTCCAACCGCGTCCACTTCGTCTCTTCGACCAACGTGTGACTCCGACCTCGCACACACCACAGGCACACACACCACACACACACACTCTCTTCGCAGATATACTCTACTACTCAAGAGTCGGGACTTGGAGTTTCCTCGGGTTCGCAGGAGAGAGGTTGTGAGTTCAGTGAAAGGGAGGAGGGAGGGAGGAGAAGGACGGTTTCAGCGGGCGAGAGGAGAGAAGGAGAGCAGTCCCCCCAAAGTCAGTCGAACGGTAATTGTAGTGTCGTGTTAGGGGCGGTACTTGTCTTCTCATACTTCCACCGATCCGTACAGAGAAGGGAAGAGTATACACCAGGGAAGAGCGAGGGGTACGGAAAACAAGAGTGTCACATAGGGAGGATTTCTAGTGACATTTGGGCTCGACCTTAGGGGGGTACAATACAACAACAGTTATGAGAGATAACTGTCGTGGAGAGTTACAAGGTTGCTCATACAACTCTGTGACCACACAACACACACACAGACCTACACACACACTACACTCTCACATACACACACACTACACAATACGTACAGTTCACAGATACACACACACACACACACACTACTAGGTCGAGCACACAGATCCACTAACAGCACATACACACACGAGCACACACACACACATAACACACACACACACACACACACATACACATAGAAGACACACACACAACGAGACTGTGTACCACACAAAGGAGGCGTGAAAGGAGAAAGACCACGGCCGGAACCCTAACGTGGAGTAAAGATTAAATAGGAGTTTCACGACGGTGGAGAAGGACACCTCGCGACGACCCTAAGACTCACCCCCCTACGTTCCGTCTGCCCACATCTCTAACCACTACTTCCCCTCGTTCTCCGGTTGCAACACCCCCCTCTAATTAGTCCCTTCTCGTCTCGCCTTTACTCCCTCCCCAATCACCACCTACTTACACCCTGTGTCGCCGACTGTAGGAGAAGAGACAGAAAAGAAGGAGAAAAAGAATAGAGAAGACGGTAGTAAGGGCAGAGACAGGTACGACCCAAATACGACCCCCTACATCTAACGCCACACATACACACAACATACACGTTTACAGAAATACACATGCATCGTAAACGAACGCTCCCCAAAAATTAACGTATAAACCTACCTTTGTATGTACAACATGTTTTGTGACTCAAAAACCCAATACAAATCTTGTGTGTCAAGGTTTATCTGCGTTTGGACCCTTTGAAAATACGAACCCTTATGTGGACCAAATCACTCACACCCTATAATACACACACCACACACACATACACAAACACTCACTCCACACACACACAACACAACAGACACAACTACACAGATACAACACCCGACACAGACCACAGACTTACACACAACACAGTAACACACCAGACACAGTCACTCATACACCATAGCACAGACACACACCACACCAACACCCCCCAGTTAATTCTGTGTGTCCCATAGGTGAACACCTATTGGTACTTTTCTTTTAGTTAGGAGGAGTCGTCCTAATTATGTCCGTGTATCGTGTACGTTGAAGTCACACAATGTCCTGGTGACGACACGGTGTGTGTACTGTAAACCAAGTGGAGCATGTGATAGTCAACTACGTTAGATGACCCGACATCAGACGGAACTGGTAAAAGTGAACTGGAAATTCGTTATCGACAATACAATTCCCTTATGCTCAGAGATACACAGTTCTACACACGCACGGAAAAGAATGGTTATCGACGATAACACAATTAGATAGAAGCTATGTTTCGGAGGGGCTCGACGGTCGAGAGTCCGGGTGTCCCGGACAAAACAAAAGAGAAGAGGAGGGAGAAGAAAAGGTAGAATTCAATAAAAGATGATAGAAGTAGGAGAGAAGAGTATGGCAACACGAGGAGGATGCAACGACGAGAGGTTAGGACAACGACTAAAGGTAAAGCTGACAGGGATGGTAAAAAAAAAGGATAATCGACGTATGTAACATGATTACAAAAGGTCGCCACATATATTTATTGAGGCGTGTCAAAACCTACCAAATTCAAACAGATAAGGAGACAAACAAAAAACAAGAGAATAAAAGACACGAAAGTGTCCTGAAGCAGTTACTCCAAAAGGACGTGAGTTGCTTTTCCGTAAAGTAAAACTAACGCGATCACAGTTTACAACCCAGGCTATTTGAATATATTGCCCGCATAAATACCAACCAGAGTCTATGTTATTTTAACAAATTACACTTACTCATGACCACATTATTGGTCCGCATAAACGAGTAGTGTTTGTACAATAGGAAAACACTATCCTAAATCTTCTCCATAAATCTCATTAAAATGGTAACTTTGTAGCGTACTGGGAGCCCTGGATCAATGTTATAAAAACTATGTTAGTCATTCAAACTAAAAATTCACAGAAAAAAGTTAGAACGAACAAATTCTTTGCAAATAATATCGTAAAACCCGAGAATGTTGTGCGAAAATACATAAATTCGATATTACTTGTGGTAGACTAATACATCTAACATAAATTATAATGAAGAGCAGCGACGTTTTTCGTGCTGGTTAGTAAAATCCTGCCGCACACGATTTTATATCCCAACGGATTACGGCAGTCGAAAGTAGACACGTGTTTTGAATAGGAGCACGGAGTAACCAGGTACACGGGTAAGCACACACAACCCTCTCCCCGAGACGTTCCTTCGACCGTCTAAAAAAAGCCAACCACATAAAAGTTTAACGATACGCGTGAAGACTCGACCAAAGAAGTTTATAATGAAATGAAAGTGTGAAAATTAAACTTCGCACAAAACTATTATATCAAAAACGGAGGAGAGCGACCTCAATCATGTCCCATCAAATGAAAGAGATGGTCATTCTCCTCTTCCAATTCCTAACGACAAGTGTACTTCTTTAAACAATAAAATACCGAAACAATAGAACACCCCACATAAAAAGTGGGACGGTTCGCAATGACATACAACTGTCACCTTAAAAAACAAAACCTGTAAGACCTATATTCAGCAGGTCAATGTTTGGGTCCGATAAACTTATATACTAATTATGGTTGGTCTCAGATACAATATAAATGTTAAACTGAATGAGTACTGGGTGTAATAACAGGCGTATTGCTCAATTCACAAACATGACACCGTGATAGATTTAGAAGAGGTATTTAGAGTAATTTACCATTGAAACATCTGCATGACCTCGGGACCATACAGTATTTGATACATCAGAAGTTTATTTTAAGTGTCTTTTTTCAATCTTGCTTTTTTTAAAGAAACGTTAATAGCATTTGGGCCATCTTACAACACAGCTTTATGTATTTAAAGCTAAAGAAACACCATCAATAGAATTGATTAATATTACTCTCTTCGCTGCAAAAAAGCACGACCAATCATTTTAGACGGCGTGGCTAAAATAACTGGATGGCCTACCTGCCTGTCAGCCTTCCATCTGTGCACAAACTTATCTCGTGCCCTCATTGGTCATGTGCCCATTCGTGTGTGTTGGAGGAGGGGCTCTGTAAGGAAGTGGCAGATTTTCTCCGGTTGTGTATTTTCAAATTCTAGCGCACTCGAGCTGGTTTCTCCAAAATGACCTACCCCACCTTTAAGTTCTTTAAAAAAAATTTTTTTAATATATTGTTATTATTCTCCTCTACCCACAAGAGCCTAAGATTTAACAGTATTCAGGGTTTACTTCAGCCTTGTTTACAACAAAAAATTGTTTAAAAAAAATAAAAAACTCCTGTGGATCCTGAGAAAAAGAAATCGCCTGCTAAAATGCAAGAAACTTAGAAAGACTATCCTGTCAAAATCAGTTCCTATTAAGTGATTAACACAGGAGAGACATCTTCCAAATGGATCACCAACTTTTTGTTTCCTCATCGTGTTGTAATTGATCTTTAATACACCGTTAAAACATATAAATATAATCCAAGGCTAACACAAACCTCTCGTAGCGGATGAAGGCGTTGTTGAGGTCATCGTTGATCACTAGCAGCTCTCCAATGAACCCTTCATCCAGCAGCTGGGGGATGAGCTCCACCACTCGACTCTGCATGTTCTTACACACCGAGTACAGCTGCTGCTCAGGGGGAGGGGAGGGGGGATCATACAATGATTCAACTACTTTTACAAGTATCACTAGGTAACTACATTTCTCACACACACACACACACACACACACACACACACACACACACACACACACACACACACACACACACACACACCTGTAGCAGCTCTCTGTCATCTTGCTTGCACTGCCCAGGCGAGATCTCATTCAGCATCTCTGACATCACAGTGAGGTTCCCCTTCACCAGTGCCAGCTCACTTCGTAGCTTCTGTTCCTGGATTACAATATATACAAATAATAAACATCAGTCAAAAGCCACAACACTGTTACATTTATTCTATTGTAATTGTGTTTCTGCTTAAATATGAAGAAGGCTGTATTACTCATAGATCTTCTATAATGCATGGAAATGCTAGTTATATTTTCACATCACAAAAGCACAGGTTAAGTTAACATCATTAACAATGGCCCTGCTCTACGGAGTCACAGTAGTGCCATACGTCAAAAGATATATATATATATATATATATATATATATAAAGATGAACACATCAGTAAGAAGATGTAGAACTANGGAAGCCGTAGCGCTGTAAAAAACACGACCAATAATTTTAGCCGGCGCGGCTAAAATAACTGGATGGCCTACCTGCCTGTCAGCCTTCCATCTGTGCACAAACTTGTGCACAGATGGAAGGCTGACAGGCAGGTAGGCCATCCAGTTATTTTAGCCGCGCCGGCTAAAATTATTGGTCGTGTTTTTTACAGCGCTACGGCTTCCACAGATGACATTTTTTTATGGATTTTTTGTCAAAGCACTTAAGATATTCATTGGCATTGGGATGTTAAGAGCATGCCATGGAATATAACAAAAAGTGTATCTCGAGCCGGTTTCCCAAACTTACCTACCCCACCTTTAAATTACTTCAAGCAAAACCTTTTCTTTCAGCATTCTCAAGTCTGAAAATCAAGGAGAGAATCAATTGAAATCAAAATAAGAAAATCTAAATCACCAGAAATGTTTTCTGAGGGCTTCTGTACTTAAAGGTCCCATGTCATGCTTTTCTGGTTATTACCCTTCCCCTTCTGTGTTATGAAGGTTTTTATGCATGTAAACAGTCTGCAGAGTCACAAACCCTCAAAGTACACCCTGTAGCGAGTAAAACTCTAACACAGAAAATACCTCCCCAAAACGCCTCGTTGGAGATACGTCATTGTCCATTTGATTCTTCCGGGTACGCATGATGTCAACCGTACCCGGAACGAAATGGACCAATCTACGGAGCCGTTACGTTAAGCCCCCGCTGATTGGTCCAAATTGACCAATCCACGGACTTCCTCACACACACACTCAGTGCAGGCAGCTCTGCTGATCTCTCCTCCCTGGCTGCAGGTTGATAACAGACAGTTGGGATCGCGGCGAAATTCTCTCTGCAGATCCATTCTCACAGCGTTTATCAACCTTTTTCTTACTCAATATCAAGCCACACTTATTGTTTTTACTTCGGCTGTGACTTTGTGTGTGCTCAGGGTGAGTTTGACTGTGTTTTGCTGTGTATCGCTAAACAAGGGAACAACACCTCCACGGAGCTTAGCGCGATTCACAACGTCCCGACCAATTAGAGCACACTGTGCTCACAGGGAGGGTGGGGGCTGGAGCTACTGGAGCTACAACGAGCCGTTAAAGGCAGAGAGTGAAATTCAAATACACGTAGTTTACAGAGATGCTGTATGAGAAACCAATGTGAGTTTGGAAAATTGCACAATATAAATCTATTCTAGTAGACCTCAACAATGGAATTACGATCAGTGGAAATGGCCATGACATGGGACCTTTAATTTATATTCACTGGATTGTAATTGTTTTCTATTTGTATTGTTAGGTTTGACAGACTGAACAAGGTTCAAGTGTCAAATACCCCACAGGTAAGAAGATGTCTCGCTCCTCCTCTTTTGTTTGCCTCTATAACAATACACACACTAAGTCGTATCCTCTCTCGTAGCAGAGCTTTAGCACCACCACTAACCTCCTGGACCTCAGCCCTGAATCCCCCTCTCTCAGCCAACCTGATGTCATCACAACAACCAGCCTATCAGCAGACAGCGCTCCTGACAATCAACATCAATCAGCCAACCACAGTGAGTAAAATTCACATGTGCCCTCTTTTGTAACCCAAATGGCATACATATGCTCTGGTATGGATCAGGTCATCCTTCTTGGGTTGGCATATTTCTGTTAGAAAACAGGATTACTTATGAAAATGACAACATGAAAAGATACGCTGCTGGAGAATATGATGTTCTGAAAGGTTGCAGGATACTATGTCTATGGACACATCATGTTCTCCAACACCAATTATATGCAATAAATTATTACTTTTTACAATTTAATATTCTTACTACTGGCTGCTGCTTGAATACTTTTATACTTTTTTAAAAACCTTTGCTTCTTTACTTGTATTATGCTGCTACTTGTTTTATGTACTATTTTGATTTGTATTTTATGTGCCCGTTTTATTTATAATATTTGTTTTTTAAATCTGTATTGTGATCTTTGCTGTAACTTACTGATATCAACGCTCTGGCTGTGGGACCAATAAAGGATTTCTGATTCATTATCAGAATTATGATGGACTAATGCTCTTACCATGAATAACAAACAATGACATTTTGATTAAAAAAAAGCAAACATAAGTATTTCACAAATGTTTTGGTTTTATTATTTTAAATGTTTAGTTACTAAGATGGACAATATTGTTGTTTTTTTTGTGACCTAATGATTTATCCATGTGTGTTGTAGAAGAGGAGGAGGAGTTTGACATGTTTGCACATACAAGAGGAAGCTCCCTGGCTGACCAGAGGAAAAGGTGAGTGGAGCTCTCTGACGACAGAGTACACTTGCTCTCACTACAGATTTTTATTTGCGTGCAACCGTGACTAAAACTACGGAATCAAGTGCCTTTGCACTTGTTGTGACTTTAAAAAGGACGGTTCACCACAAAACAAATCAATACACATTCTCCCTATTACTTACGTAGGGCTATCTATCAATATGAGTTGTTGTGAGTTGACAGGACTAGTTGTACGCCAAACTGGAAGTAAGCTTCTCAAGGGCTCCCTCAACAACACTATAAAAAAGGCTCTAAAACAAGCACTAGCCTAATGTTAGCTTTTTACTTTTCAACCCTTAATAATTCATTAAATATGTAGAGATCATCCTGCCGAACAAAACGTGTGTTTGCCACAAATATTATTGAGATAGAGCCGTTGCGATGCTAGCCTCCGGGTTGGCCCACAAAAACACATCATCACTGCTCCACTCGACAGCCTGCATTACAACACATCCTCTTCCCAGTGTCAGGTATGAGGACCCAGGTGCTGTGGAGGGCCTCGCTGGAGCTCTGGACACCAGGTTGCAGGTTACAGGAGGGGTGTGTATATATACCACGCTACACAGACATGGATCTGAACAAAATATCTCAATTGAAATAAAAGTATATTGCTAATTGTGTAGATATGGCTAAAACAGTGTCACTTTATCCCTCTCTTGATTATTTTCCTTGTAGGTGGTGCCAGCAAAAAACTCCATGCAGAGCGATGTTGACAGATCTAATGATATGGTAAGAGGAAACATGTCACAGTCAGAAGAATGTCAGAAGATATTCCTGCTTTATTTGGGATTTTGTCTTTGTCTCGTTAGTACTTTTAAAAAAAAATTTTAGGAATTGACCTAGTTTGTCAATACATGTACTTTAGAAAAATACAAACCCATGTTTTTGCATACAGTATAAATAAAACAAGACAAATATATATTTAAAAAAAAGAAAAAAACACATTTAGAGTTAGATTAAAGCCATTTGCAAGAGAGTGGTTGGTTCACAAACAGGACTAAGATATACGTATTCACTTCTACTGTTGTGTAACAAAAGATTTACAAATTATAATATAATTGTGAATTTATTTATTTATTTTCACTATTTTAACATTTGGATTCCGTTGTTCAACTTTCTTCAGGCTTTCATTTGGGAATTATTGTCCAAATTCTCTCAACTTAGTTAGCTTTTTTCAATGAGGATCGACAGGCACACACTTTAATGTACCAGGAATTAGAGCAACACTGGTACAAATATAATTTAGCCAAATCACATTTTTAATCTGTTCTCGACTTTTCTAAAGAACACATGGTAATTGAGGGTCAATGTGATGTGGTATATATATATACAGTGAGGCAAAAAAGTATTTAGTCAGCCACCAATTGTGCAAGTTCTCCCACTTAAAAAGATGAGAGGCCTGTAATGTTCATCCTAGGTATACCTCAACTATGAGAGACAAAATGAGAAGAAAAAAAATCCAGAAAATCACATTGTGAGATTTTTAAAGAATTTATTTGCAAATTATGGTGGAAAATAAGTATTTGGTCAATAACAAAAGTTCATCTCAATACTTTGTTATATACCCTTTGTTGGCAATGACAGAGGTCAAATGTTTTCTGTAAGTCTTCACAAGGTTTTCACACACTGTTGCTGGTATTTTGGCCCATTCCTCCATGCAGATCTCCTCTAGAGCAGTGATGTTTTGGGGCTGTCGCTGGGCAACACNAAATCACATTTTTAATCTGTTCTCGACTTTTCTAAAGAACACATGGTAATTGAGGGTCAATGTGATGTGGTATATACAGGACTGTCTCAGAAAATTAGAATATTGTGATAAAGTTCTTTATTTTCTGTAATGCAATTTAAAAAAACAAAAATGTCATACATTCTGGATTCATTACAAATCAACTGAAATATTGCAAGCCTTTTATTATTTTAATATTGCTGATTATGGCATACAGCTTAAGAAAACTCAACAATCCTATCTCAAAAAATTAGAATAGTTCCTCAGACCAAGTAAAAAAAAAAGATTTATAACAGCAAAACACAATCAAACATTTGAAAATGTCCATTAATGCACTCAGTACTTGGTTGGGAATCCTTTTGCACGGATTACTGCATCAATGCGGCGTGGCATGGAGGCAATCAGCCTGTGGCATTGCTGAGGTGTTATGGATGCCCAGGATGCTTCAATAGCGGCCTTTAGCTCATTAGCATTGTTGGGTCTGGTGTCTTTCAGCTTCTTCTTCACAATACCCCACATATTCTCTATGGGGTTCAGGTCAGGGGAATTTGCAGGCCAATCGAGGACAGTAATGCCATGGTCAGTACACCAGTTACTGGTGGTTTTGGCACTGTGGGCAGGTGCCAGATCATGCTGGAAAATGAATTCCTCATCTCCATAGAGCTTTTCAGCAGACGGAAGCATGTAGTGCTCTAAAATCTCTTGGTACACAGCTGCATTTACT